TGTTGCTTTACAGAAGAGGAGAAAAAGAGCCAGAATGTTTAGTTTTAGTGTCTTGGGGATCTGGGGGCATCCTGTCACTGAGCAAAGGAAGGCATGGCATGACTGCTCTCATATCTCATAGCTCCTTGTTGCCTACAAACCCATGGATACCACATTCTTATTCAGAAGTCAAAGCTCCATCCAAAACTTTACAGAACTTTTCTTTGACAGGTTCAATATTTGGATCACCTAAAGGTGACCTATTTCCCTTGGTACGAATATTCAGTTTCTAAAGAGTTCATGCCAATGAGGACAGTTGTCCCTGGGTGCCACAGGACAGCCTGTGAACTCAACAGACACAAACTGGGAGACACTGGCTGCAAATCCAAATGCTGAGACTGTCAAGCTTCCACTGGTAGAAGGACAAAGCACAACTGAGAAATGTTTAACTCATCTGCTATGTGGGATTGCATAAGATGTCAAGACCTTTCCAGAAAGTATGCCACCTAGTGACTAATTTTGATTTCCCAACCATCTACCTGGATATTACTTAGGGAAGGAGCCATTTATAGTTTACACAGTTGTGGTCTTCCTGGCCAAACCAAAGTCCCAGGAGGAAAGTCAGGTGTTTTCCCGTCACTTTCCTACCATACAGCCTAAGCAAAACACGGAGACTATACACAGGTTATATATTAAATCTAAGTCTCAACCTGTATATAAATATCCAGACCATGAACATCCATTTCTGGGGCTCTAACAATCCTGCCACAGATGGCAGAGGCCAGGTTGGCTCCCCAGCAGGCACTTGGAGTGAAAAATGGGATACTACACACAGCAAGAGGCACTTTCCTCCACACGTCAGCAACATTCCCATCCAGATAAACAAAAGGCGGGGAGGAAGAGAGATGGGGGCCCCAATACCTCTCTTCCCTCTCAACAAATGTGGCTGAAGAGCAGCTGTAGAGCATGGCTTTAATTATCCCACTGTTAATTGAACGAAAAGTTAACCCAGTTAACCTGCCAGCAGGGTCTAAGCGTAGACCCCCCAGCTACTGCTGAAGGGCACAGTGGGCAGTTTGTGACGAAGTGCCAGCTACTTCTCATTCTTCACTCCCCACTGTGGCTGCCTGGATTTGACCCCCACAGGCTGAGACAGTGCCAAAAGGGGAGTTTCACCAGAGGAAAAGATTGATGTTCACAGCCCAGCCGTGGCATGCCGCTTACCACTTCAGGGGCAGGCTCTCGGCACTCGCCTTGATAGTTTAATGTGATGAAGTTTGAAGCTCTCCTGCAAAGGGAGGACAAGACATTGCTTATTATTCACTTGCAACGCCACAGCTCTCTCTGCCATCAGCGTGACAGTCCTCTGTGGACTCCTTAATGCTTTGATGCTTATGGTGGCATTTATTACTCCCCAAACAATCTGTGATTGGGCAGAAAGGGAATAGGGGACCCTGGCAACTTGTGTATCTTAATTAGCTGTCATCAGATTAATCTCAGGCATTTTGATCTATGTTTGCTTAACAGCAAAGCACTGAGGACACACTTGATAGTGAGTCATGATGTATCAAAACAAACACTGTTCTGCAAAAGACACTCGGGAATGGTGGATGGCCCTGTATTAGTGAAATCTCTCCGCCTACTCACATGGCAGCTGAACACAAGTCACATTCATTTTTGTATGTTTTCCCATCAGTGCCACAGACTGGTTGTGAGGATTCACTGCAGAAAATTCTTCCACCCTTTACCCCGTGCAGAATTCGATCACAGTCCAGCTGAAGAGACAAAGAAATCGCATTTGGTGCTGATTCACTTGCAAGATCCTTCTTTACATGACTTAAAAGTGCTCATAAACCAAGCCCTGCATGGGGCCCCTCTGCCCTCTAGCATGTCCATCACACCTCCAGCCAGGACAGACTTGGAAAGAGATTGTGCCTCTTGTTGGACTAGCCAGTCAAGCTTTTGGGAATAGAGCCCTCATGTCCCACTCATCTAATCCACCTCAACACCATGGTCTTGAGCGGGTTTATTTCTCTCACTGTGGATCCATAAGAAGACAAACTTCTGCTACCTGTTCTTAGCCCTCCTTATCAGGGCTTTGATGCTGTTTCATCTCCAAGAATGAAGACGAAGCCCATTGGCCAAAATTAAGGAAAGACGTCTCCAGCAGACTGGTGCTGCCCGAGGGCGGTGCGACACGCACACAACTTCTGCCGCCCACTGCATCGACAGACACGAGCATATCTGAGCAGCTATGACTAATGAGGGGTGCCCTCTTGTTTCCTCTCAAGCATGGCAATGGGAACATTTAGGCACAGTTTTCCTTACAAACCACACATGGCACAGCCAGGACAAACTCACAGCACAAGGAGTGAGCTTTGGAGACCCCGAAAAAGCCTCTCACACCCTACCAGCAGAGCGGGGCGGGTGTTTGCAGAGTCATAGCAGATTTCCAACAGCAGAGGTCAGGGATAGCACAGCCTGTTCCCTGGCACACACAGCCCCTTCCTCAGCTCCGCCACCCACCACTGCTCCAGGCATCGAGAAAAGACCGAGACGAAAAAGTGACTAATGGGCTCCCAACCCCATCTCCAGGTGCTACAAAATATGTTGCTACGACTGCAAATGGTACAGTGGGACTGAGAGGGTATTCCACTTCCCATTCCACCTTGAGATGCAGCATTTAGCTCAAAAATGATGGTTTATCAATAGCCGTGGGAAGCACGACAGGGAAGGAAGGTTTCGTGCCAGGTGCTGTAGGGGGGTTTCAGTGATGTTGGGGTGCTGTGATAGCACCTGTTGGTTAAACATCACTTGTTAATTTCAGTAATGTGCTGCTTCCTCCCTCACCTGGGTAATTATTGGTGATGTGAAAGCAGACAATGCTGACCTTTGCAATCCTCTGCTCAATGCCTTCCTACGCACCAGACAGTGCTGCCTGCACCTCTGCCCAGGACAGGCGGCCACCCCACCAGCAGCCCCACATATCACAGGTGCCAGCAGCCAGTGCCACCACTCCTTTGGCTCTGGAGAACTGTGTGACAAAACCCACAGGTGGCCCTGGAAAGAGGAGAGGAGCAGATCTGCTCTCTGAATCACCTCTGGTCAGTCAGGCTCATCAGCATCCACTCCCCCTCCAGTGCTACCAGGAAATACCACTAAGCCCTGAAGCAGACTGGCCTCATTACACCTAATGCTTCCTCTGGAATGCATTAAAATTGCTGTACCTGAACTACCTACCGGGTTTTTAACTCAAATATCCCTTTTCTAAAAGCGGTCAGTGACAGAGGCTTCAGGGAGAATTAAGGCAATTGGTAGTAAGGTCTTTCCACCCATGGAAATACACTTCCTATGCCTTCCAAAATGTTATTTAAATTACTGTATGCAAACACCAGAGGAATTAAAACATCAGGTAATTTTTTTTTAACCATCCTACCTCTTGACAACACCCTGTGACAGTGAGATCCACAGTTTAGTCACCCTTTTTGCGGTAACTTATTTTCTCTTATTAGTTCATATTTTCCATTTTTAGCTTTGCTGGAACTATTCCATTTTCTTTCATGAGAAGGGAGAGCAGACACCCCCACCTTCTTCCCACATTATTCCGTACACACTTGTCATCTACCGCTCAGTGTTTCCCCCTTTAGCACTCCCTCCTCCTGCCAACCTTGTCCTCATGCCCTGGTCAGCTCCATAACCATGTTCTGGCCACGGCCTTTACCTCAGCATCTTCTCAACACGAAGGAAGGGAGGAGGAAGGTGGCACTTCTCAACCCAATTTGGCTACATGTGGGGCAGGCATCCAGCCTGAGTTCAAAACCAGCACCCCCATAGCTGATGTACTCCCATAAGGAGCCAAGCCCTTCCCACTGCTTCAGTGCCGGGTGATACAGGGACTGGCATCAGAGTACAGATACTTTCACTCATTCAAACCCTTCCAAGGACACAGGGCCAAGTGAGAAGTTTTAGGGTTACAGCAAGAACAGGAGCATCTGCTGAGAAAGGAGCAGGGGGGGCTCAGCACTGGCAGAGAAGCCTCTGTGGGAGAGGTCCCCATTTCTGCTCATACAGCTGCCATCCAAGGTGCAGGAGGTGGCTTTACCATCTGGGACTCATCGGTGTCTCTGCTCTGTGACTTGCGGCCAAGTGACCGGTTGCAGTTCCTGCCACGCTGAGCTGTGTTTCGTTGTGGGCTGGCAGAGAGAGCAAAGATACTGTTCATCACACCATCCTCCCAAACAGAGGGAGCACAGTGCAAACCCACCCTCCCCACAGCTCTGAGAGCTGTTTGCACTGTGACATCCACCCGCTCACAGGGATAGGAGAGGGCACATTCTACCGGGAAGGCAACCAACAGCAGGACAACCTTGCCCTGTGCTCAGCCCAAGTGTACCACCACCCCAGGGCTCTGCACCCTTGTGTCTGCTGGCATCACTTGGTGGAAGGGGGATTGAGGAATTGCACCAGCCAAAAGCAAGAAATCTCAGTGTTCCCCAGAAAAGGCTCTGAAAAAGCAGCAGCTGAGTCCTGCTCAGGTCCAGCAGCTATAAAACAAACAGGAGTGCCTGACCAGTGCCCAGAAAGCACGTGATACATCAGGCACTACCTCTGAGCTAGGGAATGAGGATGAGCCAGGGCTAACCCATGGGTGCACTGCCAGGAGTCAGGGTTTGCTGGACAAAGCGTCCTGAGAGGGATTCTGAACACAGCAATCACTGGTGCTTAGTACACAAAGTCAAGGCCAAAAAGGAGAAAGGATTGCATGAGAAACATGCCCCACCATGCCTCTTTCCCATCACCAGCTTAGCCAGTGCAAAGACATGCTGTACTGAGCACAAAACAGAACAACATGGACTTCTCCATCACAGACAGTGCTGTTTGTGTGCTGCCAAAACACTCCTGCTCCAATAAACCTCCTGACCATCCCTAGGAAAATGCATGTAGGTGGAAGGGGGCAGAAACCAGTGCCAGGGCTTGTAGTATGTGGGAAAGACAGGCTGCCAACCCAGGTGCTGCTGAACTCACCCTCGGCCCGTTGAGAAGGGACGTCTCTCATTTACACCCTGCCGTGAACCACCACAGTTCTTCTGCAAAAGGGGAAGGGTCACATTCAACAACCACAGAAACAACTTTTATACAACTAGAGAAGTGGCAAAGCTAAAGCAGCTCCTGCCCTCCCCCCCTCCTCCTCCCAGACCCAGAGAATTACAGTGCTGTAATTAGAGAAGCAGGTTTGATACGCTCCAAACCCACCAGATGATGTCATCCGATGGCTTACAGGATTGTGGAGAGTCTGGACCTGTCCTTTATCTCTCATATAGCATTACTGGGAAAGTGAGGGGCTGTTCTTTCAGGTCCAAATATGTCCAGTTTGTATGCTTACACCCAGGTCCATCCCACAAATGAGTGAGGCTTTGCAATATAATCTGCATCTCCCCCATCACTCGCTGGCTACAGCATCCTAAGAACCCTGATTACCCCTAAGATGACCACAGGCAGTCCCTGGCCACCCAGATCCCACAGACTCTTTCACTGAGCTCAATATAGGCTCTGAGCTCCATCTCACCTGGTTTGTCCTCTCTGAAGTGGGCAATCTGTTACGCTGGCCCGTTCCACCTCCTCTTTGAGCTTCCTTTTTGCTGGAAGAAGAGAAGAGGAGAAAAAAGGTAGTGCTATGGCAGCATGAGTGCCACCAGCACCCAGGGCTGCCCTGTAAGCCAGCATTATGCCATTAGGTACCACCTCCCCATCCACAGTCCTTGTTCCTGGTGGTCCTGTTCCTAATTCCCACCTCTAAGCCTTCTCCCTTCTCCTCACCATTCCCACTGTATGCTACATCCTGGATCCAGGTGGTTGCTTTCATATCAGGGCTGCTTCTGCATATGCTCTATGGGAGTAGAGAGAGAGCATCTGGAAGGCAAAGTACATGCATGGGAAACTCCTCAGGAGCTGCCCATGCCCAACAGTCCCCTGGGAAAGAGACCGCTCTCTGTCAAACTTGTTTCTCCTCCTCTACTCCACGCTGCTTCTCACCTGCCCCTGGGCCCTTAGCGCTGAAAGGGAAGCAGGAAGAGGGGCAATGGCTGCAGCCCTACTGTCAGAGCATCTCTTGGAGGGCCACTGGGAGTCAAGACTCTGCCAGGCATTGCCCAGATGCGGCTTCACAAGCAAAAGCTGCAGTTTTGCAGCTGGAGGTTTTCCCCCTTTGCTACTGTTGCTCAGAGGAAGCTGTACTCACAACTTGTCGGCACACATGAGACATTTGTTGGTGTGCTGCTTGCCAGAGGCATCCCGGACAGGGTCATTCTCCCTCGTGCAGGACAGTCGTCCACCAGCTTCAAACTGGGAGCGAAACTCACTGCAGTCATCCTGCAGAAGGAGGGCAGCAGTTTAGGGCACCCTGTCCTCCTCGTCTTATTGACTTGACCCTTGGGAACTTGGGGTTCCCTGCCAGGAAAGCATTGAACCATCACAAATGCATCCCAGGAGAGTCTGGGTGGGGGTGAGAGAAGAGGGTGTGCAGCACCAGCCACTTAGCATATAAACAGAGGAGTGAGTCAGAAAAATTCCAGATCCTTCTGCCTGCACAGCACGTGTTGGGGAGTTTTCTAGTATGGTCCAACTAATTATTATTCTCCTCATTGGGCTATCCAAAGCATGCCAGTGATGTGACCAATACGGTAATAAGTCACTCCCTCTTCTCCCAACATCCTTAATACATAGCTACAGCCTTTTCCCAGATAGTAGCTCAGATAATTTTCTTTACAAAGAGAGTAGTGTCCTCCAAATCAGCCACATTTTGGGATCAAAGTCAATATAGAAGAAGCAGTTAAAACATAAAAGCACAATGCAAACATACTTAATAGTCCACAGGCAGAGGCAGGTTGTTTGGAGAGTGGATCGTTAATTTGTTCCTTGTTCAAAATTGCTGCACAGAAACTGTGTTAACTTGCCCCTGTTATGTAACATGGAAACATTCGGCCCCCTAATTTCAACTATTTCACACACTACAATAGCCAGTTCCAAACAGCAAGTACAAAGGGTAAGTAACTGAATTTCACTTACTCTTTCCTTTTTACAAAAGAGGTTTTAACACTTGCAATTTTCTGCCCTTTTTGTGCACAGAGTTTTTGATAGCTTGCATGAAGGTCCCTAGCAGGTCACTGGTCTCGTTCTTTGCTTTGCTCAGAAGTTTATAGCACCTCCTCCTCTCTGCCAGCAGATTTCCCCAGTGTTGTCCCTCATCCCATCCAGAGCATCTCAGCCTCCATCTCCACAGCTTTCCCATGGCACTAACACTGGCAAACCACTCTGAGTGCAAAACCCCAAGTTTTCCTAGAGCCATACTAGCCGTGGGTAGGAGAGGTGATCCAGTGCAGGATGAGCCTGCTCCCGCTGTGCTCAGCAGTCACAGTGCATTACTCCCACCACAAATAAGTACTGCACCCACTTCAGAGGGGCTCTCAAAGAGCCTCGCTGTTTCTTCCCCACCACCAGCATGTGCTCACACCCCTGAGCAGTTCAGGCAATGCTTTTGCTCCATGACTCGCCCAGGAAAGCTCTCCCTGCCCCTCTTTGTCTTGTTCCCTGGGGCCAGCCCAGCTCAGCAGCCCAATCATCAGCCTTCAAGACAAATCTGCCTTCCCCAACAGCCTCTCTCAAACGCTCTCCCTTTGAACCAGCATTTCTGGAGCCCTGTTAACTTCTCGACCTCTGCTGCAAAAATCTCACTGAGTCCGAGTTGTGCATTTGCCTTTTTCGTGGCTTGTCGCATCCCTGACCCACTAATAAATGCAGAGCTTTCTTATCCTCTGTCACTTTTAACCAATGAGTATGAATTCTTATTAATCACTGACTGTGTGATCTTACAGTGCCATTACATTTTATCTTGTTTCTATTACTCCAGGCCTCAGTGGTATCCAATTAGTCTTGAGTGATCTGCTGATCCTCTTCCGCTGATACTGCCTCCCAGCTTTACCCCAAGCAAATTTCACTTATACTTCTATTTTCTGGTGCCAAAATCATTAGAAAAACACTAAAACAGGATTATCCCCAAGACTGAAGCTTAAGGGGACCGCACCAGTCCCTACTATAGCAGGAATCAAGAGGTAAGGATTGGAAAGCAACTATTTTCCACCCTTACAGAGCTGGTTTTGCCAGCAAAGCATCAGAGCACAGGGACATGGTGGCTGCAGCATGCCAGGGAAAAGGTGGTGAATGGCAGCTCCATGAGAACAAAGTTTCCAATAAAAAAGCTAAAACTGAACAACAGGCCTGGAGATAACACAAGGCTAAGCTTTCCTCCCAGAACACAATGATCTCTTAAGATGTGTAGAGTTCAGATTCAGTTTTCCACACATTTTTCTTTTTCACCTAATTAGCACCGTCAGCAGCACTGATGTCTCCACCCTCGAGCCCGGATTTAGGACAGTACAGCACAGCTGGTTTCCTACTCTGTTGGGGTTTGCCTGTACCTAGATCCACAGGTCAGTGGGACAGACCATGACATTCAGGCACAAGTTGTTTACTTGAGGGATTCAAGAGCATGAATAATAAATAGGGAGGGAAAGGAAAGTGGATCTCAAAATTAAGTCAGAGGAGACCGAGCAACTGCATAGAATAACATTGCCTTTTGTCTGTCTGGGTGGAAATCCAATAAAGTTCTATATTGACCTGCCTAATACTTTAATCTCACCTTATCTTTTCCTTGTCTGTTTTTAGATAACTTCCGCTCATTCTCCCTTTTGCTGGAAGAGAAGGAAGATGAGAAAGTGAATACCAGGGTGCTCCAGGGAGAAGAGGTTTTCCCCTTCATCAGCCACAGGAGGGGCAAGTGATTCTTTTTTGTTACTCACAACTTCTCTGCACACATGATGCACTTATTGCTGTGTTGCTTCCCAGAGGCATCCCGGACAGGGTCATTTTCCCTGGTGCAGGAAAGTTTCCCTTTCTTGAATAGATCCCGAAACTCCCAACAGTCATCCTGTACAAATACAAAAAGCGTGGGTTGACACCAATATGCTGACAGAGACGCATCTCCCACAAATCCACAAAGGATTATTCACCCAATGAAAAACATTTCAAGCACTATTTTATTTCTTTGAGGCATAACTTAATGGAAAACCATAGCACGCAGCATAAAACAAATAAATCAGTATGTTTAGATGAGCAGATCTGTCTTTTACATCCAGGGTAGCCTTATTTCTATTGCTAATAGAAAAGACATGCAAGAGCCTACCCAAAGGACCTAAGTTGTGCTCTAAGTATAAAATCTACAATTTCAGTGAATTTTAAATGAGAAAGTCAGTTTTCCCATATCTCGTGAGAGAACATACTATCAAGAATTTTAAAATTCATGCATAGTAAAAAGATGAAGCTGCAGGCATAAAAAAGTATAATCCTTGCACACCTTACATTCCCAGGTACAGGAGAGTAAGACGTGGGTGTTTTTACCTTCCACTTAACATGACGGTATGTGTTAATTGAACCCAAGCACTCTATTTCACAAAAGGCTTTTGTAGCAAAACCCACTTAAGCATTTCAGGCTGGCCTTTACTTTCCTCCGAAGAGCTTTCCTATAACTTTCAGGGCAGGTCTGCAGCATAAGAAACCCATGGTACATGTGAAATCTTTAGGTTCATTTATGCAGCACTTACAACCTTATCTGCCATGTGATCTGTAATACATTTTTTTCTTCACACTGTGTAGAGGAGATGGTTTGATAACTTATCCCAGCTCTGCAGATGGGGAAGTCAGGCCTAGAAAATTACTTGCCAAAAGCCAGACAGAAAATCTATGGCTTAACAAAGAAATTCAGTGTAGGTCTCTTCCTGGTGCTGTAAAACTGTCCTTCTGCCGTCAGGACCACACTTTGGCAAGTCAGGTGTTTAAAAAAGATCTCCCTTAGGACAGCCATGCTTTACAAAGCCTTTAATTTGCCCAGACACACAAGAGCTAGGAAGCTACCCTGCTTACCAGATGTAACATATAAATAAATAAATCACCGCAACCAACACTATCTGATGGAAACCAATTCACTCCAACCTAGAATAAAAACCCCAGGCTAAAAAGGCAGCTCCCTCCACATAAAGACCTGCTATCTAGAAAGGCAGCTATGGGTAAAAGAAACCAGCCAGGTGCATCGACAAGATAAACAAGGGACAATTAGAGCCAGCCTGTTCCCACACCCTGCCCTAGTCAGAGCACACATGCGCCAAACTTGCTATTAATTATTTGCCAGATACCAATGGTATGCCTTATAAACAGGCAGGTATCCTCCTTGGTGTGTACTCTGGGTCAGGCACAGACTGTATGTGCCATGTCAGTAATTGCCCGATTGGGACGAGATTGCCTGGGAGGAGCCGTGAGGAGTTTTGGTTTCTTTTATGCTTGTGGATGGCACAAAGCCACACACTCCTTCAGACCCTCTTCCCATGGCAGAGCATGTTTGCCCAGTTCTCATTGCAGGTGCATTGCTGGACCCTTTCCCATTCTCCAAGCCAGGATTTCCCACACTGCAGACAAGGAAGCGCACTTGGGAAGCGGGTCAGAGGTAGAAGACGCAAAGGTACTGCATCATCCTGCTCCCAGTGCGCCAATAAAACTGGCTTCAGCAGTGATGTTTCACCTCACCTTTCCCAAGGAGTTCACATTCCTGTCCACCTCTCCACCACTCCCTTTGTTTGAGTCTCTTTCCCTGCAAGAAAGGGAGGTGTGAGTGACGGAGCAGCTGCAGTCCTCGGATGCAAAGCCAAGACAGGTGGTGATTAAAGGCCAGTCCTGCCGACCCCACCTCCCCATTGCGCAAGGCAGCAGGATGGACCAGCACTGGGTGTTTAGCATCTCTGCACTGGGGGTGCCATCCTTTCTCCCTGCCTAATATCCAGGTCTCTCATCCTAATAAACACCACCTACAGAAATAAGAAACTAAATCTCTGACAGTTTTCACTCTGCATTTGCTCCTCACACCCCGTGGTGAGTCCCCACCATGTGATGAGCTGGAGAGATGGACTGGGTTCACAGGTTTGCTGAAGAGTTACTAACTGGTCTGACTGGCCCAGGACAACACAGAGACTCTTGAGAGTGGGCTCATTACTATGGGAAGAGAGGACAGATGGGCAGGATGGTCACTGGAGCCAGCAGGCAGCCAATACTCACAGCAGCCTTTGGCACATCATGCACTTGTTGAGGTCGCCTTTGCTATTCGGGCTCCTGAAGGGCTCCTTGGTGGTGGGACAGGAAAACTTCCCACTGCGCAGAAGTGACCAAATTTTCCTGCACTCATTCTGAAAAGCACAGAGGAGAACAGTCAGTGGAGGCTCCCATCAAGATCCTGAGAACAGTTCATTCCTATTTAATCTTTTTTGGGTGTGCTACATGCTCTCAAACAGCACTAGTTTGCTCACACCAGGCCTGGGGCTGCCACACTCCTGCCCATCCCTCACTACACATCACACGTGGTACAGGCTGTATCGAGAGCCCTGCTCACAGCTCCCAAGGCAGAAAAGACAACTAGGAAAGTCCAAAACCCATTGCAAGAATCATTAATCATGTGAAAATGAATACATATTTAAAGACTATATATTTAATTTGCATACAGATGCAAATTGCTACCCGCTGCAGGGAAGGACTCCATGTTACAAAGTCATTCAAGAGCAGAAAATACAGGCCTAGAAGTGCCAGAGGGATGCAAGAGGAATGAACGGACCAGAGTGACTGAAGAGCAATTCAGGTGCAAGACAAGCACAGAAAAGTACAACCCTCTCAGGAAGCAGAGCAGTAATATTATGTGATGCTGCAGCAGCCCTTCGCCTCGTCTGCTGGGTAACTGGAATGCAGACGAGGGAGAAGCAATGAACCGTTTAGTTATTTTTGGCTACTCCGTTTTCCGAAAGGATCTTTACCAAGGAGACCAGCTTGCTTGATTAAAACATGAATGGAACTGACTTCTCAGTCATTGAATCAAATTATTTTCTGGGACTCAAAGGACTTGCCTTAATTCTTTTAATTATGAAACTCAGGAATTACCAGAAGCAGGAGTTTCTGATGGATCAGAAGCTATATTATAAGATATCATTAAAAATATAATTCATGCCATTTCTAGCTTCATTTCATGAGATTTCCAGCCCAGAGCTGCTTGAATATGTTCTCAGCATCATGCACCAAACACACACTATCAGCTAGAGCCATTACTGTATTACAACAGTATTGTCTCTAAATATGGAGAGATTCACTGCTTTTTCCACCATTGAAAAAGCACTATGATGCCTAAGTATAGTCCTCCTAAATGACTTTGCTCAGAGCATGCATTAAGCAGTGTAAGTTGGCAAAACAAAAGGAGAATCAGAATAGAAAAGGTTGGACTCGCCTTAATCGAAGCTTGGCTGGCAACATCTGTGACAGAAAAACCAACAATGAAACCATACAAAAATCTTTGAAGGGAAATTTTAAAGCAAAAGCATTTAATTAAAATAATGCAGTTTCCTAATCTACCCAAATACCTCTCAATAAAAGCTAATCCAACGCATTATTTTACACTGATTGAAAGGACTGGGCATTAGAGAGTTTCTGGAACATTGTGCTTTTTGTTATTCAAATGCAAAAACACAACTATTTTTTTGTGCCTTTGTGCCCTCCTTTACTGTGTTACTTTTCTCAGGCTGTTTTTCCATTATTCTACATCCCTGCCTTGGTAGTTGTATCAACCTCACAAAATATTTTTGGCTTTCTTCACCATCACTTAAAACTGGGATATCAGAGCTAGGCCATACCGCTGTTGTTTGTCCAAAATGACAAATTCCTTTTCAAGGCCCATTCCATTTGCAATACCTCATACAAATTACTAAATTAATACTGAGTCAGCAGGTGAATAGCTGATACATATTTATTTCTACTAAGCCACTTAAAGCTGGTATAATATGTTTCATCCTCTTTTACATCATCAGTAGCATTGCAGGGAACCATCAAGAAATCCTCCATTATCTCTTTTTCAATGGAAACAGGCAGTAAATTGAAAGACCATTACATCAAACATAACTCCTGCTGAAGTCTCTCTATTGTAGCCAAATTATTGCAGCCATATAAAAATGCATTCCTTAGCAAGTGTTGACAAGAAATTACCATTTTTCTGAATTTACCAAAAATTGTATTACATTTGTGTTCAAAGTTGGGCTTTTTATGCAAAAATTCAGTCTGTTTCGAAATTGGTATTCTTTCACTTAGACAAATGGGGTTTGGGTTGTTTTTTTTTCTTAAACTGTTAATTCTATTAAAAATAGATGCTTTTACCTACCAATAAAACTTGACCGTTCTCACACACAAGAGAAAAAGCCATTATCAAGACGTTAAATCAATACATGTAGTGCAGCAAAAAAAAGGGTGGTCTTCTGTTATGCCACTATGCTTTTTAAACAACAAGGGCTCTAGTCCTTTATCCCACTGTTTTTATGGGATCTCCCAGGCTGCGTCCTCTGCCAGTCCCAGATTCAGCACAGAGAACATCAGAAGTTACTAACCTGAGAAGAAGCAGAAAAATGCCAGAGCAAGGACCAACGAGGCACCTTCTATTTTCATGGTGAGGGTGGCAGCTCTTTGCCTGTGTTGACTCTACTAGTGCATTGCTCAATGAAACCCAAAGACAGGGCTCAGGTCTGATCACATATATATAGGTGACCAGATTCTCCGCCTTCGTTATGACATAATCTTCCCAAGAACCATCATTAGCTGAAAAAACCAGTTTGGTGACACTACTCTAAATTCTAATGATCTCATTAACACAATTAATTTCCATAAGGATGGGACATATTTGAGTCACTCCCTGCATTTTGTCAAGGTAAGAAAATTATAAATAGATCATTTCAGATCCCCCACAGAGCCAGAGGGATTCTTGCCATCTTTAGGGTGGTTCATAGGACAGCAGGTACTCCAGTCAACACACCACTAATACCCTTTCATATCTCAACAAAATAGCTGAAAGGGCTTTATTTTAATAACGTGGCTCCAGAAGAGACAATAGGAAGGCCAGGTCACTCAAACCTCTGGAAGTCAGTTTGCTTTTATAAAAGCCTCTCAGTATGAACCTAAGGAGTAAACATTCAGGAAAGGTTGAAAAACATCAAGTTTGAGGCTTTATTGAAATTCTTTAGGCTTGATGCTACAGTTCACACAGTAGCTGTGTCAATGGTAAAACCATACTGCCAGATCCTTATCTTTTCCCTGTTGTCTTAAGAAAAAATTGCAGTGTTATTAGTGAAAACCTTTCCTCAGCCCAGGTAGGACTTGGCAGACCATACAGAAGCTGCTCTTTGAGGTACTCAGAGGTGTGTTGTTATTGATGCTAAAGGGTCCAGTGAAGCAGCCCTGCTCAGGTGTCTCCCAAAGAAGAGATAAGATGAAGGTAATCATCCTGTGCAGGGTTTCTCAGGAGATTCCAGAGAGGAAAATAAAAATGACATCAAAGTTTTGGAATGTGATTTACATGGGAAGAAGCTGTGTGCCTTGTTCTCCAGTGAAAAAGAGAAGAATTTGGAGAGAAAAGCCATTTGCAAGGTTTGAAAGAGGATAAATGAGTCAGTGAAGCAGAGCAGAGCGATGAGGGACTCAAGCACAGGCTGTGGCTGTGCAGAGAGGCAGATCACTACCATCTGAGGAAGAAAACATACTTCTGCATGACATATGTGTTTGGCCAGACAAGCCACCACAGCTCAGTATAAATCCTTGTAATAAACTGCTGCCACACGCTTCTGAGATTAGAACAGTTGTTACTGTTTACAACTGGAGCCAAAGCCAAGCAATTAGACTCCTACTTTAGTGTGTGGTCATCCTTAACATTTCTCCTCAACTCAAAATGAAATCATGTGCAGGTTCACACAGTGGAGAGTTTGGAACAGAGAAGTAAACTGCCTGAGGTCATACAGATGGTTCATGGCAGATGTGAAGAGCTGTGTGTTGTCCTGAATCATAATTTCTGTATGCATATTTGGGTGTGGAATTAGAGGGGAGGCCAACAGGAAGAGAATAAAACTAAGCTGATACAGCATGTGTCAGTAAATCCTTGGGAGAACTGGAAGAGAAAAAGCAAGAAAGTGTATGGTAGTTTAAAAGTGGTTAGAGCTGGGAAATCTATTTGAAGGACAAAAACAAAAGATGTTATTTGTTACTGAAGTGTCTGTCCATGAGTCAGCCATGAGGTGGGAGGGTTTGGGAAGGGGAAATACATTTTTAAAACGGGTTTTGTTTTTTAAAATTTTCAATCCTCCAAAAGCTCCATTTCTACAGAGAAGTAAAACACCAAAAGCTCTATTCCTACAGACAAGTGAAACAATTCCCTGATTTAAGACAAGCTGGCTGATTGCCCTGTTCCTGAAGAAAACAGAGTGGGTGCCATATCTGGTCAGACTGGCCAGGTGAGAGCAGGTCCCAGTCTGGCAGTGTAGAGAGAGATAAGGAAAAGAAGAGAGAGATCTGGGTCCTGACCCCACACTGGCCCTGTGACTACCCCATCTTTCTCCCATATTCCCACTATAGCAGCATCCTGTCCACCAATTATACCCATATCAACATGTGGGAGAAGGTTGGAATGGCCCGAACACACCTTGATACCAAAACCATATTCAGTAACAAAACTCTAAGGGGGAAAAAAAAAAAAAAAGAAGGATTTCCATCTTAATTACTACTGCATAACTACAACTTCCAAAAAAAACCAGCAATGATATGAAATGTGAAGTAAAGGGATGGAGAGAACCCAGCAAAGCCATATGGTTTGAAGGATTTGCGTGTGTGTGCTTGAGTTACACAAACCTGAACAGAATAATGAGGGATGACAGCAAGAGTGTATTAAGCATAAACCTTGCCTGACTCACTTGATTGCCTGTATTGACCAATTTACACTATATTGATCAATTTACACTATAAAGTCTCAATCTTGCACTGGAATCCAGACAGCTCATTAATTTCCATAGGAATTTGTATTGGAGATTTGGATCTGTAAGAGAGATGATCCTGATGCTTTAGCAATGCATTTAGGATAGCACCTTGCTAATCTTAATTTAAAAAGTTATGCCAAACAGCTGAAGAGCAATATGCCACTGAGAAAAGCAGCAGAGGGCAAGAAGAGATATTGCAAAGATTCTTTTGTTCATGTCTCAGTTAAAATTTTGGAAAAGTAAACAGCATATAATGATGCTATCCCTGGTAGGACAGCTCTCACTGGGTCTATTTTTCACCACATTCTGCTAAAGAAACAGGAATCAGGATAAAAATAATCATGAAGGAGCAACTATGAAAATGCAGGAGAAAATGGGAGCATAACATGAAATTTAGGGAAACTCTCATCTGCTGAAAACCCAAGAGACTATGAGGAGTCCCAGGGACAAAATCCTAAAGCCACCAAGCTGGGCCAGCACTGTGGTAAGCAGGACACAGCCACAGGGGCCATTCACCTCTTCCCTCTCTAGGGACACTGAAGGAGGAGAATGGGGGAGTCCAATAAACAACCAAATGATTCACACCCCAATTAGTGATGTACACTCCTTTTTCTATGAAAATTCTCCCCTTTTCTGACGTTCCCACATTTCACTCCTTCACAGCCTGTGCCTGCACAGGAACGTATCTATGGAGAGATAAAAATAATTGAGATGCCTTGTCCACTCAGGAAGTTGTTTTTCTTCCCATTAGTGACATGTTTTGCAGACAGGATCACCACCTTCCTAATGGGTTTAGCATCACTTAGGGATATTTTTATCAGGGAAAAACATCTTGGCAGTATAACTGGTTGGGGGCGGGGGTTGTTTGTTTATTTTGGAGGGGTAGGTGGGTTTGCTTTTTTTTTCAGGGGGTGCAGGGGGAGAGGATGGGGTGAGGGTAGGGTGGGTTTGCTTGGGGATTTTTTTGATTGGTTGGGTTTGGGGCGTTTTTTAAACCATTTGTGCTTTCTTTGGTAGCTCTTCATTGTTTGACTGCCAGTTTCCAGCAGAACTTCAGAGACACCCATTTTTAATCAGTTTCTCAGCATTAACACTTTATATTCAGAGCAAACGGCCCCTCGCAGCTCATTTTGGGCTTATCTGCAGCTGCCAAATAAAAAATACCAAGGGTAGGTTATTATGCTGCTCCCCTAACATCGAAGCTAACACAGCCTTTTGAGCAGCATCTGCAGAAGTGCTGCCCACAGGGAAGGTCTGTTCTGCACATCTTGCCTAAAGCCTTGGAAAAGGAACCACCTCTGCTGGCAACCACCACGTCAAGATGGTTCCCTGTCCAAGATACCCAATTATGCACCCATCCTGGGCTGCACTCTGCTGCAAGAGCAGTTACAAGTCTCACCCATCTCCTGTGTGCAGCCTGGGAGGTACCTCATCCACACACATCCTATGGAAGAGCAAGGTTTATGACACTGGACAAAGCTCTTTGCCCTCATGCCCTCCTGTTACCAAAATCCAAGTGCTGATCAGCCAACAAGCCAGTAAGCCCCAAGCCAATGGAAGTAGGCTTGAGTTTCTGGACTGCAATAGCCACATGCCTAAGAGTTCCCCTGTTTGTACGTTCTGTTGCTGCAGCTCTCAGGTGAGAACTTGAGAGAAACAAGTTTATGTCACTTGAAATCCCACTGTCACTAGAGGTACCCACAATCTACAACACAGTCTCTTCCCTTCAGCCAGGACAAGCTCCCTGAGCCCAAAGCAGAGTCTGCCCCAGTGTGAAGTCCTTCCCAAGAGGCTGCTCAATTCCCACCGCGGTGCTGGGTGTGCAACCAACCCATCTGCTGACCCTTCACAACACCTGGCTGCATCCCTGCAAATGCTGCAGTGGAGGGTGTTAAGTCCCAGCATCCTGGTGCACCACTCCCTCTCTGGCAGCTCACCAAGGAGGATGAATTGCTCAAGTCCAGGAGAGGAATGATGGGAACTTCCCAATTTCATACACCTCTGAGAATCAGGTGCACAGTGAGTGCTCTGCATCCTAGAGCACAGGAAGCCTCAGCAAAAATCATTTCAGAAACACACCTAGAGCACAGCAGTAGTCTTTACTGAAGAATAAAACAGACTCAAAAAAAACCCCAGAATTGTGTGTTTAGTGAACTTACTATATCAAAAGGAAAGAAAAGGGATAAACTTAATTTGGAACAATTGATTTGCAAATCTCTGTGCACTAACAGCATTTAAGAACTTTCCCTAAATCCAGCATCTGCTGCAACCTCCTCTGGACCCAGTGCCTCATAAGTTACACTCTTCCCCGTCTCCAGGTTTCCTTTCTTGCCAAAATCCACCGTTTTAGTTCTGATCTGAAAGTCACAGAATGTATCTTGGGTTATGGACTGTCTGACATGCCACTTGTACATCCTCCAGCACATCCTCCTGTGTCTCCTTGTCACACCTGCAATGCCATGGCAGCAATTCCCAGCCCTCTGTGCTTGAACCAGAGCATGAACCTCATCTTTGCAACCCTTTCCAGGCCGTGAGCCACCATGACATGTAGCTGACTGTCCTGGACAGGCCTTTGCCTCTGCTGATGTGGCTTGACAGTGCCAGGGAGGAGGGGGAAATGAATCAGGAAGTGAGCAACAGCAAGAGGTGTAGGTCCAAAAGGCAACTTTGGAAGATCACAATAATAGCATGTAACACATACCATCTTCAAAGGACTAATGAATCCCTACAAGGTTCCCCTATTATTATTTGCATTTCATAGATGAATACATTAAGATGCAGAAGGCTGCATTATCCTCTGGGTCACACCTAATTCAGTCTATTCATCCCTGGTCTTATACTGGAACTCATCCCTGTGGTGCGAGAGATCCTCCCATGAGTCAAAACAACAATGCTATCTCTCAGGCAAGCCTGGTACAGGACTCACTAGTGTGTCTAGGGTCTGGTTTGCACAGCACACCAGACTGACTGGTCCTATTGATCTCTCCTGACCTTGAAAACTGATTAACTTATCAATTCTCCTTCCCTTCCATCAGGTTGAGCAGTACAAGCAGCTCTGGCTTACTGCTGGCTTGATTTTTTTTTTTAAACGTACTTTTTCCTCTAGATGTGAAATACAAGACAGAAGAACCCTGGGGAGAGATGCATCTGAGTGTGTAACACACCATCCAGTCTCATTCCACCCACCAGTCTCAGTCAGGCTGTGGAAAGGTCCCACCTTCCAGCCAGGAGCTTCCCTGCAGCTCAACAACTTTTGTTCGCAGAAGAATAAAGCTGCCCTGGGAAACAATGCTCACTGGGAGAGCAAAGCTGCTCCCCAAGCTATAACTGATGCCATGTGGGGCTGGGGATGCTGGAACCAGTCTCTGCATTCAGAGGGAGATCCAGCATCGAAGCAACAAGCTCTCCCTGCTGTCTCTGAGGAAGCAGCCTGCCATTCCCACTGTCAACACTTCACAGGGCAGTATTTTTCATTGAAAATCGTGAGGCTGGAGATGGCAGGAGTCGGGTTTTGATCTACAAGGCCTCAGTAAATAACATCTGCATCCATAGCAAAGCACCATGACATCCCGTTGGAACTGCCAAGGACTTTCAGCCTCTGAAGGCCACCAAGATCTGTGCTTTGATAGTCCTTACCAGAGCCAGCTGATTTCACCGCTGGTATAACAGTATTTGTACCTTAGATAAGGGTAATCAAAATCTCATCATTCAGGGTGTAAACTGATCGCCTGCAGGGGTTAGAAAGGAATTTTACTTCATGTGTAGCATTGCATAACTGCCTGGATTCACTGTGGGTATTCTCCAGCCTCCGCTGAGCACCAGCTGTGGACCACAGCTAGAAGTAAAGCATGGCACACCGGCTGGAAACCCAGAGTGGTCATGCAAAAAAACACAGTCTTATTGTTTGGGAACAAAGTAGAAATTTTTCTGACTCTGGCTTCAACTCACATATGGAAATGAAAGACAATGACTGTCACTGGGCTACTGAAACAGCAGAATTTCAAGAGAGGAAGAAAAATCTGTCCTGAGATCATTTTCCCATGGACGGTAAGGAGAGTGCCAGGAGAGCACAGTGCACAAAAGATTATGCAATAACCTGCCCACCAGTAAGGACTGAGCCCCTCCATGCCACCCAACAACCTTCACCCCCCAAACACCCCCACCTGAACAGCAAGTGACAAGAACATAGTGTTTCTCTCTCTGCAAAATTATTATTTATGTTTTATCAGCAGCCAAGGCTCTATAGTGCTGGAATCAGCCACAGGGTGTGGTGGCCTAAGTGCCCGTACCCATGGCTGCAGTGACAGCAGGAGGCCAAAAACAGGCCCCATGTGGGCGTTGGTTGCTCTTAGATTATAGTATCACCCCACCCCACTCTCCTAATTGCTCTGTGAAACTGATCTCTGCCCTATCCCATAACCAGCCTGATGCAGGTGCCTTGAGCTGGAGTGTGATCCCCTAAGGCACCAGTGGTTCCTCTAAAAGAGCCCACAGGAAGATTAGATCCCAATTTTCCTTGCTGTGTAGAAGGTAACTGAGAATAAGGCATTTCTGTGCATGCACATGACAGAAAGCCAGTGTCATTGCTAGAGGCATCTTCTGCCATGGATTGCAACTGGAACTGCAACTCACTGAGGATAGTTTCCAAAGAAAACCATCAACTTTTCACAAAAAAAAAAAAATAAAAATAAAAATCAGCAACTACAACCTAAAGTAAATACATTTTCACGAAAACTATGGATTTTCCATAAATTTCATTTTCCGATACCTAAAGTGATGCTACAAGAAAGCTGGAGAAGGACTTTTTACATGGGCATACAGTGATAGAACAAAGGAGAAGTGGCTTTAAACTGAAAGAGCTTAGGTTAGATATTAGGAAGAAATTGTTCACTATGAGAGTGGCAGGACACTGGCACAGGTTGCCTGGAGAAGTTGTGGCTGCCCCATCCTTGGAAGTGTTCAAGGCCAGGTTGGATGGGGCTTAGAACAACCTGGTCTAGGGGAAGGTGTCCCTGCCCACAGCAGGGAGGTGGAACTGAATGATCTTTAAGGTTCTTTCCAACCCAAACCATTCCATGATTTTGTGGTCTTCTGTTTCTCCTTCCATATCCCCCAAATTTAGGGGAGAGCATACAACTGATGAATATTTGCAATTGATCAAACCCCCCTATTTTTAAATTGAAAGCTGCAGAATATCTTCAAGGCACCCATCACTATTCAGTCACTGTACTACCTTCCCCCAGTGTGCTGGTGATGTGGCAGTACCTGGGAAAGAGGAGACTTGTCCTTTTATGTGAGATGTAAAAAGGTTTAAACACATTTCTTTGTGAAATGGAGGCACACTGCCAAACAGCATCATTACATTCAATAGCATCATTCTGGTTGCTGAAAGAATAGTTCAGCCTTAAAGATAATGGCACAACCCTTGATGCTGCAGAGAGGAATCACCAGAAATGCACTGGGATGTTAAGGAATCACTTCAGGTCTAACACAGTTAAAGCACTTCAATTTAGTCCTCACTCACACACCAAAGCCCAAGTTTCATGCATTCAATATGTAACCCTGGAGCCTACTCCTCTGTGCTGTGGTCAAGTACTCCAGAGTACATGTCTGCAAACACTAAATTCCTTGCAAGTTTGTACCTGATTTTCAGCTAATACACTCACTACTGACCTAATACTCCCCGTGCTTTGGTGGGAGTGCTTGCCAGGCCCTTTCTGGCAGCAGCACTAGGACACCATGACAGATTCCAGCTTGCATGGTTTCTCCTGCACACAAACATGACACTCATGACACAGAACTGTTATCCCTGAAGCAGGAATGTGCTCACCATGGGAAGTCCTGAGGCTTGCCTTGTTACATTTAATTACCTGTGGGTTTTGGCTTGCATTCAAAAACAATATCACAAAACACACTTGCCTGTGCACATATATCCAACTCAATAAGCATCCCATTGCACCTGGATCAGCAGGAAAATGGTAGAGGAGATCAGCTAACAAATGCCTGATGACTATAATGGGAATCAATATGTCCACCAGCAATAACTGATTAGCAAATTAGCTACCAGGAGTGACATGTGCCAGACAACAGCAACCCAGACCTGAAACAAGGCCAGTGAAAGACCCGAATCAGTACTATTTCAGCTTTTTTAAACATCTAAATCATGGTCCAGCCCTTTTCATCACCACTTAGTGCCTGGCAGAAGGGTAAAACTTCAAATACACAGCAGAGTAGCCCAGCTCCTGTTAATGTGTACCTTGTCCCAAGGTTTTGGCTGAAAACACACCAGGTGTTTGCCCATGATGGTACAAAAACCACAAAACAGTCCTTCCTATAGTCCTGGTGGATCAAGATCTGTGGTCCCTCACAGGGCTAGGATTGCATTCACCCTGTGTTTCCCAACTGAAAACAAGACCATAATCCAACATCTGGACTGCAGGAACAGAGCCTTCTGAATAGGATTTAGTAAATTTGCATAAAGCTTATATTTGCAACTCTTACAGGAGCTGATTATGAAGCTGAGAATGCAGCACTCCAGCTGTTGCATGTGAGCACATCTGTACAAGTATGAGCACACTTCAGGATATGAACCAAAAAATATCTCCCCTTTGCAGCACTGAAACAGAGAGCCCAGTGACAGACAGAGCCCTGGGGCTGGGGAGCAGGGACTGAGCTGCTGCCTCAGGAATACCCCCTTCATTTCCTTGTAGCAAGGTAGGTCTCTTACATTTGCAGATCCCTTTTCCTTTCTGAATCTGTTGCATGAAAACTTGGTTCTGGTGGTTACCTCTCCCGCCATCCAGCTGCATTCACTGCAGAGGTTCATCCTTCCCTGAGTTCCTGCCTGTCCAGGTCTGACCTCCTTTCACTGGCTCAGGACTAGATGCAGCAAACAACTACCAGTGCCCAAATGCTATTTTCACCTTGCATTCATTGTGTACATGTCTGGTCCATGGGCTGTTGGCTGGTGTGCTGACTTGAGGAGACACACTTTGCCCTGTCAAGCATAGTTGGAGATGCCATGGAGCCTGCTTCCAAGGATATAGATACACCCATGATTCACTCCAGCATTAGCACTGCACTGCCTCCACGGAGCACAAAAGTGGAAAGGACCTCCTGGGTCATCAAGTTCATCTGCCTGTCATCACTAGTAACCACATCACTAGATCAATTAGGACCTGTTTGATTGGCCTATCACAGCTAATGGGCTCCTCCATCTGGCAGAGGAATAACAGGATCCAAGGGCTGCGAGCCACAACAAGGCAATGCCAGGCTGGAATCAAGGGGTGACCATTTAACGGTGCCTGGGTCCGTTCAGGGAAAGAGCAGTCCAGGACATCCCACATCACCCATAAGTTTTCAGACTAGCCTGAATATTGTGCCAAGATTATTTTATCCAGTGGTTTTCTGCCCCAAACCCATGAGTCTGGGAGTTTCCAGGCAACTGCTCCATGGTTTATGAGAAATAGCGAAGAAAAGCAGTTATACAAGAATACACTTACTGAAGTTTGGCTGAGGTTTTGGTGGGGTTTTTTGTGGGTTTTGTTGGTGTTGTTTTTTTGGTGATTTTAAGGAATTACGCCTTCCCTGAGGAACACTCAAAGGAAAAAAACAAGCTGAAAGATGAGGTTAAAAAAAAAACAAAAAAGAAAATCAGTGCTCTGAGCAAAACAAGAACTAATTCTTAAGCATCCTCTGGCTGCAGCTAACTGGTTTAAATCCCACCCTAAATGCTATGCCCATCACCAGGTTTACAAAAGCACACAGTTAAATGGAATTTATTGTTTGTTTTCATTATAACGGAAAAACGCCATATCTATATGCCCTAGGCTTTTTCCCACATGCTTTTGAAGATACCCTCCTAGAGATTAGACTGACATCTAAGATAATTAACATATCTTCAGGCTGGAGATTTAATTAATAACAAACAAATATGTCTCCCATATATACTAAAAAGCTGGGCAACCTCTATTCTAATATTTTCTCCTAACTGAACATGTATACACTGCACCATGATTATAGTGGTGCTAGGATTCACTTTCTGTTCACTATCAATTCCAGAAAAAAAATTACAAAAAAACCCCCACAAAAGTAGGGGGGAGTTAAAATTTCAGGCAAAATAAGATGTTTTCCTTCATTCTTGAGATTTTCTATACTCCATATTTCACGTAAAACCAAAATATCTCACTTAAATGATGCAAATCACTGCAACGACTGCAAATCATTGCAACATCCCAGACACATACAAAAATAAACATTTTCATTCCATGGAGCTATGTTTCAGGCTTGTGTGGGATGCTTAGACTATGTAATTTAGTGGAATTACCCAGGATTGACAGCACATTCTATACAAGGGATCCTGAATTCATGGCAAGAATCTGATTAAGAGGATTTTGAATACCTAAATGACAGGACATGAATTCACCTTGCCACTGAGCAATAAGATAAGCAGTTAAGTTCTGCTCAGGAGTCGAAGACAACCCTATCATTTCTTAGAGAATATTTGTAGGATCTCTCAAAAAGGAACACACTTGAAAAGGTGCAAAAATCCTATAAAAAGAAACAAGTCTAAGCATTTACACCTGACTATGGCACACTTCAAGGGAATAACTTACTCAGTCTATACCTGTTTAGTGGACATCCAAAGGCCTTTTCTAGACAAAGAACTCATGGTTTGGTCCCCATGGTCACCACCAATGCAGGATGGAGAGAGTAGTCTTGAAGGCAATATTCAGCTAAAGACCAGGACCAACTCAGTAACATGCTCAGAAATGCTTCCCCAAGTGCCCTAAAATTAAGTCCAGAGTCACCCCAAGGTACAGAGTGTAGTACCTTGTGGACAGGCTTGAATAGGTAGAGCCTATACAGTAAAGCTATAAGTATTAAAGCAAATGAAAATGGATCCAGGCTACTGGCACAGAAAGAAGGTCCTTTAAACTAAATATTGTAGGAAAGCCAACAGTTTGACAAGACATGTGGCTTGGGAAAAGGCAATCTCCAGTGGAGATATCATGAAAATTTTGTATCCTTGAAGAAAAGGATAGGAAAGAAGCCAAAAACAGTCCAGGAGGAAACAGCAGGCTGCACCTCAGCAGACATCCCTCCCAGGCCTACGGAGAGACAACAGGACAGGACACAATGTATGCATTTCTATCCAAGCAAGGCTAAAAAGCCAGGTGAGTGAACGGTAGTGCCTTGATTTCAGATGGGGCTATTAACATAACCAGCACCTCAGAAACCTGGGCAAGGGGGGAAGAAAGCAGCACAACAACATGGTAATTAGTGCGTACAAATCAAACAGGAATGAGAGCAGGCTGTGCAGGTGGAGAAG